GACGTAGATTACCCAACCTTTCTCAAAAAGGGTAGGCATACATATTTTCATGCTTCTTATTTCTGCACGCTGCTGTTGTGGTCACAGGATTCTCAAGCCTCTGAATCACCCACTTTGCCACTTCTCCCTCTGTGCCTGACTGTATCTTGCTCTACTCACAAACTGATTTCCCTCCCTCTCTCCCAACCTTCTCCTTTCTCCCTTGCCACACTGAAATACTTGACTGCCAATCTTGTTTCCCCTTTCCCTAGCATTGCAGTTAAGGCCCTTGACCCCACTATACACACCTCCCCACCCCCACTTCCTTCTCTCCCTCTCTTTATATTTTCCTAGGGCTTCTGCTCCCTGTTCAGCTGTGCCTCTGCTTTCAGTTTAGGGATGGATGCATTCTGGGTCTTAGGTTTGTCATAGGAGAAATGTGAATGTCTCTGGCTGCCCAGGTAGGTACTCTTACTTACTGTTGTCCTCAGAGCCAATTTATGAGTCACCATCAAAAAGTAGGCGTACTCATTTTATGATTATATCTTGATTTTGAACATCCATCACTCATAGACTCTTTCATTCATTCAGAGGTATTTGCCATGCTAGGTGCTGAGCACATAAAAGGAGGAGATATTGCCCATGGTGTTTGCCATTGATTTGCTCATTTGGTGGGGGAGGCATTGTTAACAGGTAAGGTACAATACCATGGTCCTAGTATTCTCACAGAGACAGGAGTAAAGAGGCCAGAACACTGAGGTAAGGACAGGTGGATCTACTTACAAGACCTGGGATAGCTTCCATGAAATGGATGTGGTTGATCTGGATCTTGATGGATGAACAGTTTTCCAGGGGAAAAAGGAAGGCAGAACATTCTAGATAGAATCAAGGGAATGTATAAAGGAATGGTCGCAGCAAGTCCTGAGAATAGAAAAATGTTAGGTGTCACATTAGTTTAGGGTATCAGGAAAAGACAAAGAAATGAGGAAAATAAAAAGATGACCTGAAACAGTAGATTGAGGTCAGGTATAGTAATATATATAAAAGTAATTTGTTCTCCTGACAAAAGGCAGTCACCCAGAGATTTTTAAGCTGTTTTGTCTTCTAAGAAGGAACTCTGGTGGTGTAGTGCTTATGACATTTGGCCACTAACCAAAAAAGTCAGTATTTTAAACCCACCAGCCACTCTGGATGAAAGATGAAGCAGTCTGCTTCCATAAAGATTTACAGCCTTGGAAACGCTATGGGAGTTGCTGTGAGTCGGAATTGGCTCAATGCTGATAAGTTTGGTTTTGGCTTCTAGGAAGATGACTATGGCTAGCTAACATGAGAAGGGAGCAGAGACGGACTGAGTGGGGTGAGACTGGAGGTAGGGAGAGTATTGGCATGCTACTAACGACAGTCAATGCAAGAAATAAAGGGCTTGGACTAGGAAAGTGGTATTTAGCTATTGAGCAGAGAGACCTTTTGAGAGAAAATTTCCAATACTTACTAGTCATTTAAGGAGCTCTGATGGCATAGTGTCTAAGGCATCTGACTGCTAACTGGAAGGTTGGTGGTTCAAACCCACCAGCCACTCCACAGAAGGAAGACTGGGCAATCTACTTCCATAAAGATTTACTGCCTTGGAAACGCAAAGGGGGTCTTTATGAGTTGGAATCGACTGGATGGCAGTGTGGTGTTTTTTTTTTTTTTTTAAATTAGTCTTTTGGATGTGAGGGGAGGAGTTTGGGATAATCCCTAGATGTTTGATCTGGGAGATGGGGTAGAAAGATAATAAGTTTTACTTAAATGTGTTATATCTGTGGGCTCTCTAGTAGATAATTGGACATGGGGAAGAGATTGAAGAGATGGGAGAGAGAGACCATCTGATGGTCTGAGATCCCACTGGTGGTAAAATGGGCTAGAATCTAGGTAGTAGTAGAGTTTATCATTTGGAGAGTAGAATGGGCCTTTCCTTGGGGACTGAAAAGGGAAGGCAGTAAAAGGTGTTTGTACTTGCCAGCCAAAGGGGATAAGGGAGGAGGTGAGGAGGGCAGCAGGTAGTGAGAAGATTAGGACAAGGAAGTGTCATTGAGGAAGGAATTGCTGAGCAGGACTTAAGAACCTCGCTTTAGATTGGGGTCATCATTGTACAAGACCTCTTTCTCTCCTGGGATGCAACAGTGCTGTACAGCAGGAGTATAGCACACTGCCGTCAGGAAGCTGGGCCTACTCTGTAAGGGTGATTAGGAGGGAGGCAGTTGTTTGAGGGTGCTGATATGACTGTGTCAGTAATGACTTGTTTGGGGGTACAGGCTGGGTAATGGGTGAAAATCAAACCAGGTGCTCATAGCTGAACTTGGGAGAGAAGTGAAGTGGCTTATTGACCATTGCAATTTGCATCCCAGCAATGAGCCTGTCCCTGGCTCATAGTAGTGCCTCATGGAGGCTGGTTGAGTTGAACTGTTGAAGATTGATGATTTTCTAGGAATCACAGAGGTGGGAGGTCAGAGGTGGTGGTGGAAGTTTGAAGTTTGTTTTGGTTATGGAGCAATTCTTAATTGTGCATAGGGATATTAAATACTGAATATTGAAGCTAACAGGAAGATGGCAGGAGACATAGTGAGCCAAGGGCCAAGGCCTATGCAAAGCACTGTGTCTATCTTTGATGTTGATAGAATGAGAAATAGCCAGTAGGGGTACAAGTTGTGAGTTTCAGAGTGTAGGAGGGGACATTTGGAAAGGACCTTATGGTTCTAAAAGCATGCTGACTACTGTCCAGGCTCTGAGAGTTAAATATTGTAGGAATTGAAGGATAGGCCAGGTAAAGTATGATTGGATGACTTCTAAGAAAAGCCGTGTTGGAGGAGAAGATGGGGAAGACATTTTTGAAGAGGGTGAGAGTGTAGGAGGCCCTTTAGAATAGTGGGATTCCTGAAGTGGAGTATAAAGCAGAAGGGCTGCAACAGTGCTCTTGGCAGGGCCTTGGAGGGCTCCTGTCAGAATCACCAGGGTTGGTCGTGGGCTGGTGATTATGGGGAAGTGCATCATGGCAATGGGGTAGCTGCTCTGGAGTGACTGTTGATGCCACTGAGTTTGCACGTATTAGAATGGACCAACTGTGTTGGATCATCACATCTGTTCCTTATAACATGTTGTGTTATCTTCATTTTATGAAAACTGAAGCACAGAAAAGTTAATAAATATTAAGGGTCACTTGCTGTTATGAGTAGCTTTGTTCCAAACTCAGTTCTTGCTGATTGTGCTAATATATATATATATATTTTTTTTTTTTTTGTGGACTTTTCCTTCAAGTATTGTCCTATTGAGAGATAGCATGAATATGGGAATATAGTCAATGCATTTTTTTCGATGTTAACCTGTTGAGTTTTGGTAGGAATCCTGTGCATTGTCCCACCAAGCTACTTAGTTGTAGTTCTGTAGTAGCCCTTGGTGGCAGTTGATGGTATTGTGACATTCTGAGATGATAGTGATAGGCCCCTGCGTGGTCAACACATTTGGCTGCTAACTGAAAGGTTGCAGTTCAGGTCCCCCCAGAGATGCCTCATAAGACAGGCCTGGCAGTCTACTTCTAAAACACCAAGTCATTGAAAGGCCTGTGGAGCACAATTCTCCTCTGACATATGAGGGGTCACTTTGAGTGGAAGTCAACTTGCCGGCACCTGGTTTCTTTAAAGTGAGAGTTAACACTTCCCAGTCACTAAGTTGCTGATGTGTTACAGCAAGCATTTTTTCTGTTGTGAACAAGGCACTTACAAATATAGTCTTTAACCTAACTTAACCATGTACCCCTATAGTGTTTTAGCACATAAAGTGCTTAAACATAAAGCGTGAAAGGAGGAACCCAGAGGGAAAACCATGCTCCTTGGGCTGAAACCTTCTTCTTATCCATGGGTAACACCCCTGCCCAGCTGGTGCCCAGAGCTATCTTTCTCTCATGGTCAAGGGTGGTATTCTTTTGTCTTTAATCTGTCCTATTTCATTGTCTATTTCCATTAGCTTATAAACACATTAAAAAATATCCCCTTTAAAAAAAAAGAAAAAAGGTTTGATTCTGTCTTCTCCCCTCTCCTCCCATCTCAGCTACTGCCTGCCTCAGTCTTTGCAGTTAAACTTGTTAAACCTTTGTCCTCCCGCTCCTTTCCCAACCTGTGCCCTGTGTCCTCTGCCGAGCCTAGCCCTCTACTAAAGCTGCCCTATGATCATTCATTGGGGGAGGGGTTCTGTACTTACCAAGACCTTTTGGGCAGGACAAAGAGTGACTTTAAGTAAGAGGCCTCATAGAAAGTCTTGAAGGTGCAGCCATTCTAAATTTTAGCTGTTGATTTGCAATTTGAGTTGCTTCTCTCATGAACATCTCTTTGTAGCAACAGGCCTGTGTTTACTGATACAGATTGTATTATTAAGCTACATTGGGTTGCCCAGGTATTGTTAGATAATATTGATGTTTTAGGGATGTCAACCCTTCTGGATGATGAATCACTTGAGAAATAGTCCCAGAGGTTAGATAGGGGCCCAAATGTAATTTTGTTAATGGTGAAAACAGGAGTGGGAAATTTGGCTTAGATGTTCTGTGAGAAATTTGTGCCTTGGAGTCTCAATGGGTCTGCAGAGCTGATCTTCTCCCATACAGAGACTCTGAGAGCTTAACTTTTATCAACGAGAGAACACCTGAATGCCCAGTCATTGTAAGTTACAGATTTTAACTCTGGCTCTTCATATCTGGCTCTCCAGTCTTAGAGCAGGATTTCCAAATCCTAACTGGCAGGCTTCCCAGGAGAGTGGTAGTACTTTACTATCCATAAAATTGTGGGTAGCTCATTGGGTTGCATTTTTATCCAATTTAAAACTCCTAGTATTGTTTCTGGAAATTTGGATTTTTCTTTTTTTTTTTACAACTAGATTATTTGTACGTATGAATGGCTTATTCATTGGTTAATTAATGAGCTAATCAATGAAGTCAAGCTGTTAGTGTCTTTCTGTTGCCACAGATCCAGTTTATTTTCTTCATTTTACAGGTTGAATATAAGCTGGGATTTCAAGTAGACAATTTTGTGGCTATGGACATGCCCCAGGTCAACATTTCTGTTCAGGGGGAAGTTCCACGTACTTTATCAGGTGAGTGTTAAGTCTTCAAAGGGAGAAATAACATAACAACATAACATAATGTAATGTAACATACTGTTTGCATCTGGCTTCCTCACACCACAGAAAGAACATTTTAACTATTGTTGTGCAAGGTGTCTTACTTGCTGATGATGTTGTTATTGTTAGGTGTCATTCATTTCTAACTTGCAGTGACCCTGTGTACAACAGAACAAAACACTGCCTAATCCTTTGCCATCCTCACAATTGTTGCTGTGTTTGAGCCCTCTGTGTACCCTCTGTGTCAGTCCAGAGGGTCATCTTCTTTTTTACCGACCCTCTGCTTTACCAGGCATGCCATTCTCCAGGGACTGGTCCTTCCTGATAACATGTCCAGAGCATGTGAGATGAAGTCTCACCATCCTCACTTCTAAGGAGCTTTCTGGCTGTATTTCTTCCAAGAATGTTTGTTCTTCTGACAGTCCATGGTATATTTAATATTTTTCACCAGTGCCATAATTCAGAGTCATCAGTTCTTCTTTGGTCTTCTTTTTTCATTGTCTAGCTTTTCCATCACATATGGATGATTGAAAATACCAGGGCTTGGATTAGGCACACTGTAGTCCTTGAAGTGACATCTTTTTTTTTTTTTAACACTTTAAAGAAGTCTTTTGAAGCATGTTTGCCCAGTAAAACATGTCATTTGATTTCTTGCCTCCATGGGCATTGAGTCCAAGTAAAATCAAATCCTTGACAACTTCAGTTTTTTCTCTGTGTGTCTTATTTGATAGACATAGAAATATAAGTACTTTGAAAATTATTTTCTGTAAATACCATTAGTACTACATTCTTAAACACTTCTCTCTTTTCCATCCCTGTTAGAACTGCCGGTGCTCAGTTCCTCCTTGTCTCCCTTGCATTGATGGCACTAGCCTTCTCATGGGTCCCTGGGTCTGGTTTTGTTCCCCTGTGGTTAATGCCCACATTGGCCCGGATGAGCATTGCACACTCACATCTGACCATGTCAAGCCTGTCAGTACTCTCTGCACCTGTCAGCTGAACATGTTCCAGACTCTCCACCTGTGTACTAGCTTCTTTATTGTCTGCTGCCGTCCTGTCTATCTAATCTAATTGCTGCACTTGCGTGATGCTCTGAGTGTTCCAGCAGTTCCATACTACATGCAGATCTGATATCCACACCTGTGCATATGCTGCTCTCTGTATTGGGAAACATCTTTCCTTTTTTATGCTTGTGAACTCCCATTCCTCCTACTTACTATGCTGTTGTGATATAGTAAATTACTTAGTGTGGCTTTTCTACCCATAAGTCTTTGTAAACTCTGAGGTGGAATTTGCCATGAGTAACTGAGGAGCTCCTGATTGCTAAAATTACCCACTTGAGGTATTTCTGTTGAGCAGTGGCACAAAGCAATGTTCCCAGAAGTTCATTCTCTCTCAGGTGCTTAGAATTCTGATGTTATGATTAGTTAGTTTGGCCACTCTGCCAGGCTCAAAAGGAAGCTCCTAGAGGCAGAAGAAGTCTCTCTGACTGCTGTCTGGGAAGGATGTGCTGCTGAGAGAAACGTGCTCCTGAGAGACACGTGCTCCTAAGAGACACACACTGCTGGGAAAGAGATGAAAGAGACATGCATTGCTGAGTGAAACACCGAGAGACACGCACTACTGAGAGAGAGACTGTGAGAGACTGTTGGGTGAGAAATGGAGGGCTGAGAAAGACTGAGCATTGTTCCTAACTTGAATTGTAGCCTGTTGCTTCCCTATTAAACCCCATAATCGG